CCTCTCTCTCTCTCTCTCTCTCTCTCTCTCTCTCTCTCTCCCTCCCCAGTTTAACCAATCTCCATCACATCTTATCCTAACAAGTATTGCCATGCACAGGTGGTCAATAATAGCAGCTCAATTACCAGGGAGAACGGACAATGACATTAAGAACCACTGGAACACAAAGCTCAAGAAGAAACTTCTGGGCAAGAAAAGAGAACCATTGCAGCATCGACGCGTGCATGCTACTCAACAGCCAAGCAATGACAAACCTCCGCCAGCAGTGACTTCATCTGCCCTCGAAAGAATTCAGCTCCACATGCATCTCCAAAGTCTCCACAACCCCTTTTCCTTCTACCACAACCCTGCACAGTGGCCTGACTACCATGCTCTGGGAGAGAGCAACTTCCAGAGCCACAACATGGATGACATGGCCAAAGCTCAGGCTCTGGGCGACATGGCTGCATACCAAGCTAAACTCGACATGCGTAACACAGCCATCCAAGAAGAAATGGACTGCTCAACGTTAGGGTTTCGTTCACCTCCGGACAGCATCGGTGCTCCGAGCACGGATCGTTCCAGCGCAAGCTCTAATCCATTAGAACCAGCGACCGGGTGCAAGCTATACGGATCGTGTGACTACAACCAAACGAATGTGGAAGCAGAGATCATGGATTCGTGGGACTGTAATGGTTTCTCCGAGGACACGTCCGGACTTTGGGACTTGACTGCCGTCATCCATGCAGATTCTATGCTTCAAGAGTACATGAAAGGGAGGCAATGATGAGTAGTTTGATGTATCGATATTGTTGATACTTTGGACTTCATCTTGTTCTAATACCTGTCGGAGTACATTTGTTAGTACTACTTTGTGTAGTGTTCTTGCATTACATCACGCCAAACTTTGCACTTGACTTGTTCTTAGATTGTTGAGTGAAGGTTATGAACGATGAGTGTCATGGAGTAAGATTAGCAACCAAAAAGATAAAGCAAAGATCAAAGGAAGAGGAGCTTCTTCATGCATGCCGTCATGCACACCAAATGCCTACATATTACTACTTACATTCTTTGAATTCAACGTTGGCGTACAATGTGGACTTTTACCCACACATGAAAGATAAGAGCATACACTTTTGACCACAAGTTACAGCAGCCAACCATCTACATGATTTCAATCTGGCAATCTCTCTTCATGTGAGAACTAATGGATGTTTGTGATCCACATAGTTTGGGACCTTATTAATCATCTAATCTACCTAAACAGAAAATTCCTAATTGAAAAATATCCTGTGTGAATTGGTGGGAGAAATTTTGAATGGGTTAATATCCCTTTACCTTCTTGTACCGAGAAATTGAGCTGTGGATTGATATCATTCAATTTCTTAAACCATGGCCTCATCAATCATCGCTCACTTGTGGTTGAGTTCATCAGGTTTTGTGTGACAATGATAGCAAAATTAAACTTAATGATAAGGTAGAAGATGGATTTAAAAGGTTTAGTTAAGATAGAAGCCTTTGTTTAGTTGAGATGCTAAGTCCTGATTTCAAGCCTGCTATAGATAGAGGGAATTATAATGCATTACCATACAAGAAGAAAGAGGAAAGATAAGGTAGGAGTCAAGAGAGATATAGAAAATGAAGAAAGATATAATATCTTTAGTGATGAGTGAATCTTTCCATGATGTTAAAAAATATGTGAACATAATTTAAATCACTAAAAATAAAAGTAAAAAAAATATTCACATGTGTTAGATATAAGAAGATGGATTAAAAAGATTATCACGATCAACGGCCCAATAACTCAGTTTGATCTAATACACTTATCAAAATATTTAAGTCGGAGTTAATGTAATACACTCATCACACCTTTATGAGTCAAATTTAGACTTCGCCCACTTTGAGATTGATTGGGGTGTCACATTAGCTTGACAGGCCTTGATACCAAATGTCATGATCAGAATTTAATAGGCTAACTGGCCAATAACTCTATTTGGTTCAAACCACTAACCATCAAGTGGGAATTAATATAATGCACTAATCAAACTCTTATAAGTCAACTTTAGTCTTCGCCCACCTCCGATGTGAGATTGATCGGGGTATCACAAAGATAATCCATATGATGAAGAATTAGAGTTGGATTACATATTCTAACTATGGTTCACAAACTTCAAAAACTTGAGTTTTCTGGAGTAAATTGACATGAACTTGATTTATAACCATGATTGGTGTTCTTCTTGGACTTTAAGATAGATCTCGTGGCCCCTTGTCTTGGCCTTCGTTTGCTACTGCACACCAACCTCATTGTTCTTGGACTTCAAATGCAGATCTTGTGGCCCCTTACCTTGTCTTGGCCTTTGTCTGCTTCCGTCATCCATCCGAATGCCAGTTGCTGCAACATACATAGACATTTTTTGTTCTTGAACTTCTTTTCTCACCATCAAAATTTCTTTTTTGCTTGGCGGCTCCTTCTTTTCTCACCATTTAAGCGTTCTTGCTTGGTGGTGTTTCTTCTTCTTGCAAACCTCCTCTTCTCATCATCAGGATTTCTTGCTTGGTGGTTAAGTAGTCACTCGCTAAAATGCCTAGCAGAATCTTCAAAGAAAAACCTCGTCGACAGCAAAGAATCATATCCCAAAAGTAACACATGTCGAGATTGTTTGTCAGAGAAAAAACAAAAAAAAGAAAAAGGATGATAGTCAATACAAAGAGGGGCAGACTGATTTCAGCTCAATCCTATTCATAGTCGATATCCACGTGCCCGGACGCGTTGACGTTGACCGACACAGCAGAATTCATGTCCGCATTGACAGGCTGCCATTCGTACACGTGTTCGCCGACGTGGGTGTGGAGCCACGCGAAACATGCTTGCCTCGTGCAGAAGCATTCGGAATGGCGACCGGCCGAAGCAAAAGGGCAGTTCAACGGTTCGCGACGGCGCCAAAAGCGCAACAGAAGTTACCGCTTACTTCCCTCGTGGCCACGGCGGGCGTTGCAGCATAAAAATTACAAGTGAAACGTGGAAAATAAGGAGGGAAAAAGAGAGAGAGAGAGAGAGAACACTCCACACCATTTAGGCATCCGTCACAGCTCTCTCCCTCGCCACTCGCTCTCGACGTCGCTCCAACCCCCTCCTTCACCCTTCTTTCCTTTTTATCCCTTTTGCGATCGCCGGAATCCCTCCTCCGCCTTGGCGACGGATGCTCGCCGCCGACTCGATGCTCCAGACGCCTTGGCTCCGATTGGGGATCCCCGGTGTCAGCTGGATCCGCTGCCCCAGGGCGGTCGATTTCGTGAGATTAGGGTTCCGCCCACGATCCGCCACTCTGGAACCGACGACCGAAGCTCGGAAGGCGGATTCGCTCCGGTGGATAGCCTGCTTCAAGGAGCCCGTGGCCAAGGGAAAAAAGGTGGAGGCGGAGTACGTCCGCGGCGGCGAGGACCTCTGGGACGCCGCGTCGGCGTCGCAGCAGGGGGGTTACCCCGAGCATCTCGTTGTAATGGTTAATGGACTGGTCGGGAGGTAACTCGATTTCTTCTTGGAGTTGATTGCTGCGTCTTCCCGGTGTATTTTGCAGTAATTTGATTCTCTCTTTCTTCTGCTTGGCTGTAGTGCTGAAGATTGGAGGTTTGCTGCAGAACAATTTGTCAGAAGACTTCCGGATAAAGTTCTTGTCCACCGTGAGTTTTGCTCTCGAGGCCGATGCCTTCTTTTGATCTTAGTTTCCATAGCAAACTGCTTTCCCCCTTTTCATGGGTGTGTTTCCTTGTAGGTTTTGAATTCCTAGTAAGCTGTTGAATCATGAACAATTTGAATTGGTAGAACAAGTAGTCTCTGAATCACGGAAAGACGTCAACAAAATCGGTAACCTGTGAATTGCATAAATTGATTACGGATTAGAACTTGTAGTTAACAGAACGAACTTGTAACCTGTGAGTTTTCTTTTAGTTTTATCCAACTGCTTTCCTTCCATTACGACAAAAGGTTTGCATGAAAGGGAGATGTTTCCAAGATAGGTAGAACATAAAAACAACGCCCTGAAATGACATTGCAAAATCTTTTAACTAATTGAATTACAACTTAGTGAAAGAATAATTCACTTCAGCATATTTTTAATTCATACTGCCTTTCATGTTCCTAATACCTTTTACAGTATTCATTTCAACCAGCTCGTTGGCTTATTTCCTATGATTATAATGATGTTGCAAGAATTGTTCTGTCACAAATATTCTCTAGATATGATGAATTTCTTCTTTAACAAAAAGTTTAGTGCACCTACTTCTTGCATGATTTCCTTATTAGTCATCAATATTTCTACTTTAGATCGTTTTCTATCCAATTCAATTGGTTATTCTCCAAAAATAAACTATCATATGTATTTGCTCAGCTTATTTGGATGTTGATAGTTCTTATTGGACATCAGTAGAATGTTACAGAATTTTTCTTAAGTCATGGATCAGAGCAAGAAATGGTCTCTAGAAGCTTGCATGAACATGAAATTATCTCTTGATAGCAGCTTATAGCAAAGAAATCATTTCCAACTCCCCCGATGGAACATAAATTATGTTGATTTCATATTAGGGACATCAACAATAGAATTTGATGATTGCAAAAGATGAGAGTTTCACCTTTCCTAGTTAATGTCCTATCCATATTGGTATTTACATGTATGCTCACATGCATACATATATCTTAAGGAGACAGACGTGGTCAAACTTGATTGGACCCAGGAGGATATGCATAGAAGACGATGTTCTTTAGTAATCTTTTGAACATTTGAGTGTTTTGTTTTAAGGTACATCCCAGTAAAATAAGAAGCATTATTTATGGTAATGTTGCTAAATTATCAAAACTTGAAGATTTTCCTAGGAATGTCGGGAAGCTGAATGCTTAGAATGCTTTGTTAGTGTTTTTTTTTTTTGGGCTGCTGCAATGTGACTGTAGTGGCTTCTTTTACTTGTATTTGTAAACGTGAATGCAATACTG